TTTTTTTTCCATACTTTCATTCTTTCCTTGTTCTGTTCTTTCATCTCCTCTGGCAGCCCTTGTTATTCTGGCCTTTTCCACTGCACTTTCAAGAACGCTAACTACTAGGCAGATTACACGGTCATTGTAACATTCAGATTCATCAGTTTGGCATTCAAAAGTAATCAGTTTATCCATCTTATAATCCATCAACATCAAGTACCTTTTTTTTCCAATTAAAAAAAATTTTTTTTTAATTTATTTTTGAGAGACAGAGAGCGAGGAGGGGAGGGGCAGAGAGAGGGAATGAGAGACAGAGACACAGAATCTGAAGCAGGCTCCAGTCCCTGAGCTACCAGCCCGACATGGGGCTTGAACTCACAAGCAATGAGATCATGACCTGAGCCGAAGTCAGATGCTTAACCAACTGAGCCATCCAGGTGCCCCAACATCAGGTACCTTTTGTGAGCCAAATTCTGCACCCATCTTTTATCATGGTGATAATTAAGTGAGCAATTCTTGTTTTAAGAGCTCCCCACAGATGTGTCTTTTGAGAACTGCTTTAGAACTTTACAATTTTTATGAAGCCTAATATTACTCTCTTTGGGACCTCCTAGGTAAATCAGAGCTTCCTCAGGAGGTATCAGTTAGATAACAAAATGCATATATTGTCTGGATCTAGCCGCCTTTAGTTCCAATTTATTCTGGTTCCTCTTCAGACAAGCTTTTTGTTTTCCTCAATAATCACCTATTTCTCAGAGACTCTTAAGAGTGGGGGATCTGGGAAGTGTTTTGAATCTGTGGGATTCTGGGAGGCCTTTATGGGGTACAAGGATGCACTTGGACAGCCCAGTGCTGGTGTTAGGGAAATGGGACTGTGAGGGCTCACTCACTCATCTGTACATTGGCAAATAGCAAAAGATAGCCTTGTAATAGAGAGAAAAAAAAATCTCAAAGGGGAAAGGAATAATAAAATCATGCTGGTTTATGGTTTGTCAGTCCAAAAAGCTTTTAAGCCATCTCTATAAAGGTGGATTCACTTAATGTTTGTTCTGCATTTCAGGCATCATTGTGTGGTAAGTGGGGTAAATTTAGCCTCTTTAAGCCTGATCTCCTAGGGGTTGAGTTTTAAGCATTGGAACTTTATTTGAAAAGGCTCTTATCGATTGGGCTTTTATTTGGTACCTCCTTACTAAAGAGAGGTACTAAATAATGGTTTGGCCTCCCTGTTAGGTTTTTTTTTTTTTTTTTTTTTTTTAATTCACTTTATAGGTCTCTCTCTCTGCCCCTGTTCTCCACCTTCTATTTCTAACTGTTCTGCTTAAAAAGACTAAAGTGGTATGAGAGAGGGGAAAAAAGGGAAAGAAAAATCAACTGTCACATTGTGAACATAATTGATTCAATAAATAACGTCTTTCAATTCCCAAGGCAAACCTCAAAGTCTTCACTTATGTCAATTAGTGTTCAGCTCAGTAAGTGGTGGCGTTCTTAATTTAGACGGATGGGGAGAGTTCACCAGCGCTCACTTCCGAAGGAGGGACTGTGCTTTTCTGGTTTTAAAAACACACCACCAGATATATGGGCCCACTCTGCAAAAAGAAGGTTGAAACGGAATTATTGTGGCCGTTTTTATTCTTCCTGAAAATGGAAGGAAGGCATTTAATTATTGTTTAGGGTTTTGTTGAAACAAACAAATGGAAATAAGGGAAGTAAGATCTACTAGACTGTATGCTCCATACAGGGGTTTTGTCTTGTTGGTTCACTGTTTAATCTCTGGTGTACACAGTAGGTGTGTAATATTTGTTGAGTGAATCTGTTGATGATTGAATGAGAGTAGAATGAGTGCAATTCATATCTTAGGGTAAGAATTCAATTACATTTTATTCCACTGGTGGTTTCATTTCCCCCCCTCCCTCCCCCACCTGCTCCTTCATTTCTTCTCTAATTCTTTGCGGGACTGCAGGGTGTACCGTGTCTTCCAAAA